GGAATGTGATGAGAATGAAGGATCAAATATAATTGGAATGAATGTAAAATATTTACTTTAAACCAAATAAATGCTTTAACGAAACTAAAAGTAGTTGATCTTTATAACATTTATTTTAATCCAAAGAGAATAATAATTCAAAATGATCGAAAAATGAGTCAGGGATAAAAATATAATTATATAAATAATATTAAAATGATAAATGAATAAAATGAATTTAATAAAACCAAAAAGAATGTGATGGTTAAATAAATAAAAAAAAAAAAAATTGAAATTGATCCAGCAAAAATAAAAAAATATGATAAAGACAAATAAACTTTGTTGTATTTTTTTTTTTTTGTGTTTAAGAAAACAATCATTGATATATTAAACACATTGATTACACAATAGCATTTTTTTAAAAAATTATATGCAAATGTTTTTGTCTTATCCAACCACAACAAAATCAAACAAACAGTATAATTAAATAGGTAATCAATCATCGAAATTTAGAACGATCACATAATACGAATTGTTTATTTTCTGATCTTCAAAGACCCTTGCATTATATATTATTTATCATGATTGGTGATTTTGATTAAAAATATTCCTGTGTTTTATTAAACTTTATCTCATATACAATTAATAAAAATATTTTATCAGAATTTACATAAGAAGTTTTTCCTTCGTTATATAAAATTTTAATACGGGAACATGTTATTCCGAGAGCCGTTGTTGATTTCATTCGTTCTTTATATTTTCATGTTTGTTTATTAAACATTGATTCGCGATCCTCAATAACAATAATTTATATAATTTATATTGTACCATCTTTAAAATATACTGAAGAAATATGCGGAAAGATACATAACTACATCCAATGAATTTATAAACTTGATCACTTAATACGGTCAAAAGGATACGCACGACATGTTTCTTGTACCTATCTTAACAATATGAAGAAAAGCCCTTTTTTGCTTAATTTAAATTCAGGGTTTAAGAACTAACAAATGAGTAAAATACAAGTATTTAAATGCGCATAATGTGAATTCGATTCCCTTTCCGGTGTAATGCATTCATGCAGAGTAATTAATAACGGTAATATTAAATAATAAACACTATTGTTGAGTATCAATGCAAACAAATCATTTTGAATGATGATAAAAAATATTTGGTATCCGTAAGTAACCGTGCTTTTTTTTTCGATTCCTATTCGAAAATAAAATATTTTGATGTTCGAATTTCCAAGCCAGATTTGGTTAGAAAAAAATTAAAAAAAAATTTTTCTTTTTGACAGGATCTGCGATTCCGAATTTAGTAGGCTTGTGATACTTGGCAATTTAATCCCCTCATAAAGGGGAAATTTACCAATTTTTTATTTAGAATCGCGTTAAATTAACTATTATTAAACATGGTAATGTATTTCAAGAAGCATTCGTTTACTTCAAGAATTGCTAACATAGCATATGTTTTATTAAGCCACCAAAAAAATCAACGATGAAAGCACAAAAAGTCGCAAAAGCAGATTGGAAAGAAGGGTTTAAAAAAAAACAAGTTGGAATAGCTGATATGACTATGTTGAGTAAAGTTAATAATGATGCTATTAATGATAATTTAAAGAAAAGATTTGAAAATGCCGAAATATATGTAAGTGACCTTAAGAAGAATTTGATGGATGAGGGAAAAATGTATATATAAATATATTTGTTTAGTTTCCGGAAATGGTTAGATTTGGTTCAAACTAAATTTTGAAATTTTAATTGGTTGGATTTCTTTAGAAGAGAAAATTTTATCTCAAATTTGAATTTTATATATTTTATATATCAAAGATATTATCTAACCCTTTGATTTTATTTATTGATGAAAAATTAGACATATATTGGACATGTGCTGATAAGTGTAAATCCATTTAAAGATTTGGGCATTTACACGGATGAGATCTTGCATAGTTATACGGGTAAAAATAGATTAGAGGTAATATAATAAGATACTTTCTAGTTTGATCTTAATCAGGGAAAATTTTATGTAGTAAAAAGGCTTCTTTATAAATAGATGCCACCACATGTTTACGCTGTTGCTGAATCAGCTTATTATAACATGAATAGTTATAAAGAAAATCAATGTATAATCATAAGGTATTTTATGTTTATTATTACAAGAAGATTATTTATGGATATTATAGTTTTGTTATATTAATGATTTGTTTTTATTAGTGGTGAATCTGGTGCTGGTAAAACTGGTAAACTTTGAGTTATTTTAATTTTTATCATAATTAAATATGTATTTTTACTCGTATAATAATGTGTATATATATATATATATTTTTTAACCCAGAGGCTGCTAAAAGGGTATATTCAAAATTTTTATTATAACCTAAGTTATCAATATATATATATTTGTCCTTTTTTTCTTTTTCTTTTTAAAAAAAGAAAGAATTTTCTTTTATAGATTATGCAATACATTGCAACAGTGAGCGGTGGAGCAACATCTTCAATTCAAGAAATTAAAGATATGGTATTAGCCACAAATCCTTTATTGGAAAGTTTTGGCTGTGCTAAAACTCTCAAAAATAATAATTCAAGTCGTCACGTAGGCGTTTATTTATTTATTTATTTTGTTTAGAAATTTTAATAAATTTACTTAAAATTTAAAATATATATATATATATAATTTAATTTAGGGAAAATATTTAGAAATTCAATTTAATAACAATGGTGAGCCTGTTGGTGCGGTTATTACAAATTATTTATTAGAAAAGGTAAATTTGTAATTAAAATGTCTCTTTTAGTAAATCTTAGATGGTTAATATGATTTTTATTTATATAGGGGCGTGTTGTTGGACAAATTGAAAATGAACGTAATTTCCACGTATTCTATCAATTCACCAAAGCTGCTTCTCCTGAATATCAAGGTACATCATTTTAAACATTCTAATTTTTTTAAAGACATGTTTTTACTGAGAAATCATTTCTTTATAGAACAATTTGGTATCCAAGGACCTGAGAGTTATTTATATACTAGCAAAAGCAATTGTTTAGATGTTGATGGTATTGATGATAATAAAGATTATAGTGAGACTTTGGTAATCTACAACGTTCTTATTTGTTTTCTAAAAAAAAAAAATAAATAAATAAATAAACAAAAACCCAAATTTTTATATACAAATTTATGATAAAATTTATAGGAAGCAATGGAAGTTATTGGGTTACAAAAACACGAACAAGATGATATTTTTAGAATGTTGGCAATTATATTATGGTTAGGAAACGTATTATTTGATGAAGATGATGATGGAAATTCTGTTATAAGTGACGAAAACGGTAGATTTATCTTATTCAAACAATTTATTTGAATGACTTTGTTAGAAAAAAATTTAATAATTTTAATGATTAATGATTAATGATTATAGTTACAAATTTCATTGCTTATATAATGGAGGTTGAACCAGCAGCATTAAATAAGGTATGGTAATTTAAATTAATATTCGTATATATTTCTTGCTAATATGGCGCGAATTTCTTAGGTTTTAACAAGTAGAATGATTGAAACATCACGCGGAGGTCGTCGTGGTTCTGTATATGAAGTTCCTCTCAACCCTATTCAGGTTTTTTTTTTGAATCCTATTTGAAATTTTTATTCCATGTTTTTTTTTTCGATATTCAAAATTTTTTTCCAAAAATAGGCATCAGCTGTAAGAGATGCATTAGCCAAAGCGATATATAATAATTTATTTGAATGGATAGTAGAACGTGTAAACCAAGCATTACGTTCCAGATCACAGTCATCATTTGTAATTGGAGTATTGGATATCTATGGATTTGAAATTTTTGAAGAAAACTCATTTGAACAATTATGTATTAATTACGTTAATGAAAAATTACAACAAATATTTATTGAATTGACATTAAAAGCAGAACAAGAAGAATATGTTAAAGAAAAAATTGAATGGACACCAATAGAGTTTTTTAATAATAAAATAGTGTGTGATTTAATAGAAGAAAAGCGTCCTCCAGGTATATTTGCTTTCATGAATGATGCTTGTGCTACTGCTCATGCTGATCCTGGTGCTGCAGATAACAGCTTTGTACAAAGATTAGGAAATTTAAGTTCCAATCCTCATTTTGAAAGTAGAGGCAATAAATTTTTAATTAAACATTATGCCGGAGAAGTTTTATATACTATACCTGGTATGACTGACAAAAATAAAGATCAGTTGGTAAAGGATTTATTAGAGTTGATTGCTTCAAGTGAGAATAAATTCTTGTGTGCAATATTTCCTAATCGCATCGATAAAGATTCTAAAAAGAGACCTCCAACTGCGAGTGACAAAATTAAGGTATGGATACTTTAATGTATAATGTGTCTGTTTTTCTTTTTTTTAAAATAATAATAATAATAATTTTTACTTAGTTATCAGCAAATGATCTGGTGAGAAATTTGATGCAGGCTCAGCCTTCTTATATACGTACCATAAAGCCAAATCAAAATAAGAGCCCTTCAGAATATGATTCAAAAATGGTTTTACATCAAATTAAATATCTTGGATTGAATGAAAATATTAGAGTACGTAGAGCTGGTTTTGCTTACAGGCAAACATTTGAAAAATTTTTCGAAAGGTATATTTTCAGGAATTTTTCTTATTAAAAAAAAATTATTTTTCCTTCTAATGTTTATTATTTGCTTTTAGATTTTATTTATTGTCGAAGAAAACTTCATACGCTGGAGATTGTGTTTGGCAAGGTGATCAAAAGACTGGTACAGAGAGAATTTTGAAGGATTGTGGTATTCCTGCGGAAGAATGGCAAATGGGAGTTACCAAAGCATTTATTAGGCATCCAGAAACGGTATCGAATAATCTTTATTACACTTGCTTATCATCTCTCTTTTTCTTCCTTATACTAAATCGGTTTTAATATATTAAGATTTGGGCACTTGAACATTTACGTGATAGATATTGGCATAATATGGCAATGAGAATTCAAAGATCATATAGAAATTATGTGAGATATAAGAACGAATGTGCAAGACGTATACAAAGATGTTGGACAAAGAATAAAGATCAAATAATTTATGTACAGTTAAGAGATTATGGACATAGTATATTAGGAGAGCGTAAAGAAAGAAGAAGGATGAGTCTATTAAGTATGAGAAAATTTATGGGAGATTATTTATTTGTTAATGATAATAGTGAAAGTGGTGAGACTTTAAGAAATGTTTGTAACCTTGGAGGTGAGTATATTTAAAGTAAAAGAAATATACAAAAGTAGCTTGAAATAGTTAAATTAATATATATAATTTTGTTCTGTTAATAGCGAATGAGCTTGTGGCATTCAGTTTTAAGATTCAATTACTTGTTGCTCGTCTTGGAAGATCAAGTAAACCAAGTCCTAGGATCTTTATTATGGTATTATATATATTTATACATACATTTATTTTTGCTGAAATTTATTGATTCCTTATTTTAGTCTTTATCCTTTTTATTCTTATTCTTATTCTTGTTCTTATTATTTGATAGACTGATAAGGCAATATATATAGTAATATCAACGATTGAAAAGAAACTTTTAACAATGAACGTTGAAAGGAATATCCCGTTAGGTTCGATTACTGGAGTCAGTTTATCAAATTTAAGAGATGATTGGGTAGTACTTCATCTTAATAATCCAACCAAAGAATTAGGAGATCCAATATTTTCATGTTTTTTCAAAACAGAATTTCTTGTTCATTTATTACAAAGAACAGGATCGAAAGTGCAAATTAACATTGCGTCACAAATAGAATATTGTAAAAAATTAAACAAAACTGCTACAATCAAATTCGTCAAAGATGAAAATATTAAAAGAAATGATTTATATAAAAGTCATATTGTAAGTGTACCTAGTGGTGAACCTCCAAGTAGTTTATCGGATCCTCCTTGTCCAAAAAAAGAGCCACCACCAAAACCTATTACTTCTGGTAAATTATTGAAAGCTGGTGGCCCTCCGAAATCAAAACCAACTCCTTCAGTTACTAAAAAGAAACCTCCGCCGGCTCCCTCTTCGAATACAGCCGCATCAAATATTGTAGCATCTAAAGCTGTTGCAAGAAGGAAATCCACTGGTGGTAGAGCAGTTCCGCCGCCACCTCCCCCTCCTTCTGCACCACCAAAACCTCCTTCACCACCACCCCCACCAACAAATCCAATTTATAAAGGTGTTTATAATTTTGTAACAGAAGATGCAGGAGAATTGCCATTCAAGCCTGATGATTTATTAGAAATTCTTGAAAAGGATGATAACGGTTGGTGGTTAGCTAAAAAAGACGGTCAACAAGGCTGGGTACCAAGTAATTATTTAGAAGAAGTTAAAGTTACACCGAAACCAAATCCTGCTTTGCCTGCTAGACGTAAACCTCCTCCACCTGCTGCTATTCAAGAAAAGAAAGTGCCTCAACGAGAAGTTGCTGATGAAGAAGTAGAACAACATCCCATATCAAGATCTCGTTTTAGTGCTTCTCATGCAGCTTCAAATAAAAGTTATGATGGCAGTTCTTCACAAGTTTCAACCGCTCCTGTAGCAGTATTTCCAGGTATGGCGCCCGTTAATAGTGCAAGTGGGGTACCTCCATGGAAGGCCGCTCTTGAAGCTAAAAAGGCTGCTGCTAAGGTACTTTACTTTTTTTTATTCAGTACATTTTAAGTTAAAAAAGGTATATATATATATTGTTTTAAATTACATAATTCTATTTAATTTACAGGCTGCGAATCAAACCGAAAGCACAGAAAGCGATCGTATTACCACTGCAAGAAAAGTAACAGGGCTTTGTGAGTAGACCTTACTTCGTCCATTTTTTTTTTTTTTTCATTAATTTACAATTTATTACTTTATATAGCCAAGAAACCTCCGCCACCGGTAACATCAAAACCAATAATTCCACCTAAACCATTATCCGGAGATAAGCCTCCTGCTCCCCCAAGACCAGGAGTTACAGGATCAAAGGTATGTATGTTCAACCGATCATGTACGAATAATAAGATTATGTCTTAAACTTTTTTTTTTAAAAAAAAAAATTATTTAGCCACCTGCACCACCACGTCCAAGCGGACAACAAATGAGCCTTGCTGAAGCAGTAGGAATTTATTTTTAATACTGTAATGTATTGCGCGCAATTATTGATTATTTTTTTATTTTTATTTTTTTAGCTTAAACAAAGAAACAAAAGTTTAAATAATGATGATGATGATGATGATGATGATGATGAGTGGAATTAATAGAAATAATTAATTAATTTCCTCAAAAAAAAAAAAAAAGTTTATTATTTAATAGGAAAAATAATGAATTATTATCTAAAAAAATTATTATATTTATTTGAAAATAATTTGAAAATAATTAGTATAGAATTGAATTTTATATTTTTACATTTTATACAAAAATAAATTTATTATTATTATTATTATAACAAATTAATTTTTAAAATGTGGGCGTTTCCTTTGCTTCTGTCAAGTCCGGTTTTTCATGCGTGGTAGGAACGTTCCCTCCTGAGGGATGGAATTTAACAATTCATTAAAACATATAAAAACCAATCAATAAAGTCTCCATATAAATTTAATATTTCAATGTAATCATTATAAATTTATTCCATAAATAGAGTAAATATAACAAAAAAAAATACTTTAGGTAAAAAATTATAATAACTGTACATTAAATATTATTTAAATACACCAAATACACCAAAAGAATTTATAATTATTATACATTATAACTATCATAAGCAGTATCAGGAGCATAGAAAAATCCAGCCATTAATACTAAATAAGACAAAATTAATATAGATCCTTTGAAATAATTAGACTTTCCTTCTATATATGTGTAAGTTAATAAAAATACTGAGAAAACCACAGAAAATACATCCCATCTAGGAAATACCAATCTGAATAGAAAAGGAAAAGGAAATTTTAAATGAGAAAGTTAAAAAAAACTTTGAAACTAAACATTAATAAATAAACGCTTACGTGAATGTGTGACCCCTTTGTTGTTCATCAGATTTATCTTGATTAAGCCAAGCAGAAATTGCTACCATAGCTGGAATTTGTAGAAGACATACTTGTATCGCATAAGCTGATCCGATTTCCATACTAAAATTTTATGAATAAAGACTCGTTAAAAATCAATTGTTTGTTAAGGGTTAAAAAGCAAGAAAATCATTTGAGTTTACCTAAGAGCAATATTTCCATATAAAGCAAATGACATTGCATTAAGAAATTCAGTTACGTTTGGTACTAAAGCAAATAAAGTTAACCCCAACATCTTTTCTGTTATGGAAACATTATCTAAAACTACGCTAACATTATTAACCAGGATTTCTTTTAAAAAAAAAAAAAAAAGGGAAAGGAAAACTCGTTATTATTGATACCCAACATTCTTTTTTGACATGCAAATATAAATCAACATAGTTACAATCATTACCTGCGATCAAAGAATAGAAAGCGGTACAACTTAATAGTACAATTCCACTTTTAACTTTACCCCAATTAGGAGAATCATGACCACCAATTTCTTCTTCTTCTTCAGGTTCATGAGGATGTCTAATAAAACTAATGTGTTGTGATGCTGCATTTTGTAAGCTATTTGCTAAATGTATTGTATTTTCATTTACATCACCATGACGATTACCAATATTTGGTACCGACATTGGTCTTTGTAATGATAATGGTATTGGTAATGAACTTTGATTTTGTGGATGAGGATGATTTGATGTTTGTGAATGTGATATGGAATGTGGAAGAAATTGTTGGATAATGTTAATTGGGACTAAACGTTGATAAATGGATTGCGGATTTGTTGCATGCGTTTGATAAACCAATGCGGCATGTGTTCGTAATGTAAACCACAATCCAATTAAGTATGACTGAAAAATGCGAAAAATGTGTTAAAAAATCCCTCTTGAATAAATAAATAAATAATTAATTAATTAGTTGATTGATTATGAGATTTGCTTACCAATACGAGAATTATAGCACAAAAATACATTAATGGCTTGACGCGTTCTTTGTATATTGAAGTTTCGGTAGGTTCAACCACAGAGTGTGTACAAACCTGACAAGAACCAACCATTGATTCAGTATTTCCGCTACAAGGTTCACAAGTCATTCTATACTATAAATAAATAAGAACATATATGTAATTTAAGTAAATATCATATTATTGTTTTTTTTTTTAAAAAAAAAAGGAAGCAATAATCATTAATTCTTACAGGAGCATATGTCTGAAAGAACAAGGTTGGAGTAAGTGTACCAATGATAGCCATAATCAGCATAGTTGATGTCACACCTATTTTTTTTAAGGAAAAAAGTTAATAAATCGACCTTTTTTTTTTTTAAAGAAATATAAGATACATACTACACTAAATGTATTACCTGCGCTTTTAGCATTAAACCTTTGCTCCTTTCTCTTTAAACCACCGCTAATCATACTAACGCCAGGCATTAAGAGAACGCCAGCCATGAAACTTCCAACGATACTACCTTCCATCAATTTACCTTGTCCTTTCTCTAAAGCAATCGCGTATAAAAGTATTTCAATAATGCTTCCAAAAGTAGCATTAATGACAGCTCCCATACCAATGGATGATTGAGCTGAAATAGAAGCCACAGCCATACCAATAAAATAACTTAAAGGTATAACTGATATTAATGATAAAATAAAGATAAATACTGGGGTGGTAAAAAAATATTTCTCTGGTGAAAATATTTCTACAAGAAAATAATCATCTATCATGACAAAAAATACTATAGACATTAAATTAATAAAGAATATATTAATCCCATCATATGTATACTTGTAATATTGTGATCCTAATGCTTTGTCCGTACATAATAATATTTCTGATTTTGATGATGTTTTAGATGCTGATCCTGATCTGAAATGTAATGATAATGGGTGTTTTCTTAAATGTCCAAGTAATACATATATTAATCTTGCCATTGGAATTGAAAATACCGAAAACCAACATATCGCTGAAACAAGTAAATATAATGGCGCTGGAATATATAAATAATAATTTAGTGATATGGTAATTATTTGCGCGTTACATGAATCCCTAACGTGTGAACTTACCTATGACTAGGAAGAACCAGAAATAAAAGATGACACCGAACAGACCAATTTCATCTAATTTTTCAAAGAAATTAAATTTCTCCGAGTGACTATTTCTACGTGAATTAATATTAAGACTTCTTCCCAATAAAGGTCTGTTCTCATTATCTTCGATTTCCATGTCATTAGAATCTCGTCGATTAAAATAGTCGGTTTGATCTTCATTCTGTTCTTCACCATTTTCATCAATCTTTTCAACAAATTTACCAAATGGCCAAAATATATAATAACTTAATTCTCGAAATACCCTTGCGTATTTCGAACCTCCAAATGACTCCAACATTATAAATGATATCATATATGTCGTTAACGCTAACCACCATCCGAAACATATTGCCCAAAGAATATTACCAAAACTAAGGTATAAACCCGGTGAAGGTGTAGAATGAAGTGCTGAATCCGCGTTACGTGTCACAGTACGTAGCTTCTTATACAATGCAGGTTTCCACAATCGCAGACCGAATGGATGCGTAATATTAATAGCCTAATATTAAATAAATATGATTTAGAGTTGTGTTACGTCGATGAAAGTTAAAAGGTAAATGAACACTCGTCAAACATTCAATTACTTCTTGTCTATCTTTAAGAGTAAGTTCATGATCAGATTCGTTCTCATCGTCTTCGTTATCATCTAGATTTTCGTCAACGTCATCATCTGCACGTCGATGCGAATGACGTTTTCTCAAACTTTTTCTCTTGTTTCTCTTATTACGTCTCCTTGAACCCTCAGAATGGTAATCATCACCATCATCGTCATCATAACTTGAATCATCTTTATAAGCAGATTTGCGTCGAAGCAACCTTGGTGATGCAGCCGATTGATGGCGTTTCGGAATTGGTCGATTTGTTGGTATTGGATCATTGATTAAAATCCTGTGAGATCCTTCTGAAGCTTCTGTACCCTCACCCGCAAGACCTTCTTGCGGTTGTTGTGTTATTTGATTATCTTCTCGTGACATTTGTGATTCATTAAATTGAATATTAAATATTTTATCGTAACTACAAAAAATTTACTCAAAAAAAGGGGGGAAAAGTATAAATCAAGATATATTTATATACATAATTTCAAATTACCAAGCACAAATAAAAAAACTGCATGCAGGTTCAAAAATTAAGGGTTAAAAAAATGAAATATTAAATGGGTTAGGGTACTAATACGGTTAAAGGTATGGTGTTTTTATGCAATAAAATTATTAATTCCGATTTAGATTCTCCGTGTTCATCATCAAAAAAAGGTCTCCTTAATTTTCATAATGATTTCCTTTTTTTATTTTTTGTTTATGCATCTTAGGGATGGGCGTTATTTAACCGGTTAATTCATCAATCTTAAATTAATCGTTTAATTTCCCATCCTTGTTACATCATGTATTACTCAAATTTTCTATAGGTTCTACGTGGGAAGGAGAACTAGAAAAGGGAAAATCATCATCGACAATAAAAGTTTTTTTCAAAATTTGTGGATGTGGCGTAGCATATGCCGGAAATTTTTTTTTATAAACTAATGTGATTACCAAAATTAGATCTATGCCGGTGCGAGCTGTCTGACTTTATCTCACATGATTAATTTTATTTTTCGCAAAGTAAAAAATAAATAAAAAAATGTTTCGAGCTTCTTCGTTATCATCACAAATTCATACGAGAAAATTCTTACTGGCTAATTTATCTCGTAATATATTACAAAGTAATTTACATAGAGGTAAAGTTTAAAAATTCTTTATGGATTAAAGTTTGATGAATGATTTGACAATTTTTTTTTAATTTTAGATAACAAGAATTCGGAGGTAATTCCAATACGAACGAATTACACATCAAGTACCAATTCACAAATATCAAATTTGGAAAAATGTACACTTGCAGTTTCATCAGCATTAACAGCATTTTGTGATCCCGGTAGAGGAGGTAAGTTACATATAAAACAAGTAATTCTTTTTATCTATCATCATAAATGATTAAGCTTCTTTGAATATTTGAATAGACATGATAGCGACATTGGGAGAAACAACAGGATCGATATTTATCAATAGAATGAGAGATCACATGTTACGAGACAAAACGGGACGAAGGATTCTACAGGAACGTCCACGAATCCATTCAAGTACGATAGACATACCATATTTAAGTTCTTTACCATTAGGTACATTTGGTAAAGAATACACAAATTTCTTAGATGGACAAAATGTAACACCAGATACAAGAGTTAAAGTACAATATATTTATGATGATGAATTAGCTTATGTTATGCAAAGGTACCGAGAATGTCATGACTTTTTCCATGCTTTGACCAAATTACCCGCTAATGTTGAAGGTGAATTGGCATTAAAATGGTTTGAACTTGCTCAAACTGGAATGCCTATGACTTTATTGAGTTCTATTTTTGGTCCTTTAAAACTTTCTTCAAAGGAAAGAGAGAGATTGTTTAAAAAATATGTTCCTTGGGCTCTACAATGTGGATCTCAATGTAAATTTTTGTTGAATGTTTATTACGAAGAACATTGGAATAAAAATATTGATGAAATGAGAAATGAGCTTGGAATTTATCTTGTAGATTAAAAGGCATTCCTTGTAATTTTGTTAACTTTTTCTAATAAATTTTTTCAAAGAACGAAATTAAAAAGGTTAATCAGATTTTAATTTCAGGAATTAATTCCATATAAGGCCTTATATTCTTCCATTTTTGTTAAATGCTCATCACAACCTTCTTTTTCTTTAAAATATTTAATTATTTGTTCCAAATTAACGATCGATTTAACAGGAACACCATACGTTTCTTCAATTTGTTGTACGGCGGATTTTTCACCAGTACCTCTCTCTTGTCTATCCACGGCCACAATAACTCCAGCAACCTTAGCTCCATTTTTTGTAATAATTTCAATGCTTTCTCTAATGGCGGTACCAGCCGTAATAACATCAT